TCACCATGTCATTATGGCCCATGTCCAGTTGTGCTCTATCTGATGACTATGCATCTTGACAATTGCTTTGCAGCATAGTTCCAGTAGAACAGACTTAATCGTAAGGTTGTCATATCCAAAGCACACTACTCCTTTCTTATGCTTTCCATAATGTACCTAGTGTACAAGGATGACTGTTTATGGATTACTATGCAATTGGGACATTGAAACACTGTTCCCAGTGATTTCATCGGTATTTCTTTGTATGGAATAGCATGAATACCTGTTTCATTCACCACCTTTTTGAGATATACAACTGCTTAATGGATATGCCATGGAAGCAATATGGGTACTTGTAACTTGAATTGTTTTTTGAGATGGAGATCCTTCTTGATTATGTTGCATACTCCTTGGTCACAGTGATGGCTTTTGCCGCTGGCCTTTTATTTCCATGGAATCTCATCCATTACAAGATGCCGATCTTTGTCAACCACAGATGGTGTACGTCTTGTTCCAGGTCTCTCTTTCCGGATGGTCCTGTTGCCCCAGGTTTATCCACATTCTTTTGTTTTCCAAAGTAAGTAAGTGCAAAGAATATGCTCACGTTAAAAATTCTAAATCTCCAATTTGAAAACATTTTTATAATCTAAGTGTATGTATATTTTGTGTTGGAAAGGTTTGTTAAGTCTTTTCCAAAATCATTCATTTTTTGATGGCATCACACTCATTGCGAATGCTAAACAACGATAAAATATACTTCTGACACATGATGTTCCATCGTGACTATATCAGTTGTATTTTTCACACAACTTTCATATTAAAAATCACTTTAATATGATGTAATCAACCCAATAAAAAGAATAATGTTTTTAAATATAACATTTAGAAATTCTTATAAGCTCAATACTTTCTTTACTAATTATCATTTTGATAATGAACCTGAATTAAAAATGCAATTTTTAAAATTATTCAAGTTGGTTAACATCAATATAACGATTAATTTTCATATGAAAACCAAAATCACGCACATTATAACATTTAGTTTTTACTGCTTCTCTGGTATAGAAAAATCAGTAAAAATGACAAACCTTCAGTAAAACATGTCGATATTTCTAACTTCCATGTTGTTTTCTTTCAAAGAATAAATAAAAACGAAAAAATAGCCTATGCTAATATTTGTAGAAGTAATTCATTTTTCCCCAGTAGAAGCCTAATGTTCTTCATAGTTTACAGGTATTTGGTCGTCTTTTCAGCCTGTTTTCTGCTAAACAAGTTAGACGTACGAGTAGACCACAACGTTGTACGATTCTGAACAAAGGTTTGATAAATAATTTATGCTGCTTCAATTCACAAACTTAGAACATCTTGAATAATTCATAAAAACCCACCTTCCGAGATCACTAGGAACTTTTGAGTCGTTTTTATTGAATTGTTGCACTTGCTTTTCAATTCTCCATGGTGTTATGTTGTGCGTCGAAAATAAAAATGTTTACAATTGATTTCTTATATTGGTTGTTGTTATTGAATTCTACCAAAGACGATTACGATAATTTTGGTAATCATGTGCATAAAATGAATTTTGTGGTAATACCAGCAATAAAAACAACATGAATCAGAATTATTATAAAACAAAACCTCAAACTAGTAGAGTGTAACTTTTTTAAAAAAACAGTGTTTGTTACGAATAGTTGAGGGTCTATCTGCACTAGCTGTCCCTAATTATAAACTGAAAGAACAGAGGGGGAAATACAGCTAGTTAGCAGCACTTACCACCAACTTTTGGGCTAGTATAATTGCTCGTAAGCGAATTGAGGATCGTTGGATTCACAGTCCGAAACGCTTACCAACCAACTGAAAAACTACAGTGAATGAACCGAGTTGATGTTCATGATCGAGTACATGTAGCTCAATTTCTACGTATAAACTTCTAATTTTCCTCTTTCAGCTGATGTTTTATTTGAAAAAGTTGTCATATACGTAAAACTACCACAATTAATAATATGTCGGTTAAGTTTTTCCCAATCGTTGACTCTTTAAACTCACTTAAAACACAATCCGGTAGAACAAAAGTAGTTCTAAAATATCAAGAAATATTGTTTTCTTATAATCAAAATTCAAGTTGCAAATCAGGAATATGCAACTGCATATCATAGCTAATTGATTTAATTTTTCTAACTACCAACTGCCTCTTTCTTGTATCGAACAACAACAAAAAAGCGCTCTACTAACCCTATCCATAGGTGTTTAAATGTTGACTTATCGGAGAAAGATAAATGATTTTGGAAAGTAAGGGTCCACCTCCTGGACCAAAAATGTAAGCTTAATGATATACAAGCCTAATTGTTGTGATACACGTAATTCCTTAATAACATTTATTAATAAAATAAACATATCGATACTGTTCTGAAAATATTATTATTATTAATAAGGGATATACCGTTTCAATTTTAATTAATGGAATAGAATAAGTATTATTTACTTTAAAGTTCACATATTTACTTAATACTCTCAACCACCCCCTATATCCGCCCTTGCTTGCTTATCGCACGTTGTGTGTAAAATCGATATACGATTATCAGTAAAGTTAGCAGAAACCCGGACTTTCCACGTCAGCATAATATTTATGCAACTGGCCAAAAGCTGATTGTGCTTCAAATGAGCAATATTAGAAGGATGACAAATATTCTGAAAATATTAGGCATAGAATTTGTGGCTTTCTAATTGCATTTCATGCTTGTAAGTTCACTGCTCTGGTAAATATTGAACAAACCATCTAAGGTATGAATTTAGCAAATGGTAAAACACAATGTTTTTCTGGCAACCTTAGAATATTTAACGTTAAAGATGTCAAATTACACAATGAAAATTTTAATGTTAAGTTAGTTTTGATACTTAACTTTGTATTTACACTCTCATTACCGAAATCACAATTATACATCCTTTAATTATATTTAATTAAACTTTATTAAGTTACACTAAAGCAATTTCATGTTATAACACGTGGACATTTTCTCAATTATCTTAACTGTTGTCCCCCCCCCCCAAAAAAAGTGGCTTAGTGATAAGTTTGAAGGCTTATCACGCTGAAAACCGGGTATCGATGCCCGTGGTGGCCACCGCACAAATAGCCCATTGTGTAGTTTTGTACTTTTAAAAAATCTTTACTGTTTCCTCGCAATTAAGTGGATGTAAGTGACAAGTTTTGCATATTACGAAAATCAATCTATGTGTAGTAACATTTAAA